CACCTGTTCTGTGGTCCATCACCAACTAAATATTCAATTACTCTATCAACAGCCCCTCGATCCCGAGGGAGGATGGGCCTGGCTAGTGGAGGACCAGGAGGATGTAGACCTGCAATTATAAGAATTCATAGGTTAATACTGGGAAGGGGTTATTTGACACATACTATCACAAAACTATTCTTTATTTGAAACCATACTATGCTAATGTATTTGGCAATGTTCATTGTGGATATTGAACTAAAATAACAAATTGTGCACAAGTTAACCAAACTTGTAAGAATCTTTGATGTTCTACATTTGTGTACAGTTTTACATCTTCAGGTAGCGAATTAGATTTCTTTCATCTCTCTGACTTACCAATAGAGTCGGTTCACAAATATTATTCGAGTTACCTTTACTGAAATTAGTTGCAAGCTATTTTTATTCTAAATTCTATACCAAAATTGGCAATCCTAATCTTCAAGTCTTTGAAGAACGTTTAACTTCAATTGAGGTGTTTGGATGTAGAGAAGCATCAATATTTCTCCAAAGTATCATAGGAGTTGAGGTTGCACTGATGCAATGCTGTGGTACTAACATTGTTTCAGTGTAAAACACACACCAAAAAACAACTTACAGCTGTTTGGAACTGCTGCCAGATGCACTGCAGGGGAAAAATGTTTCAGAAGGATGCACAGAATTAATAACTTAAGGACTTGCAACCCTCGTGATGCAGGAGTCATTTTCTGCTGCTATTCAGGCCAACAGTAATTAATGTAATTAAACATCAAGAGCAATTACGGCAAGATGACTGGTCATTTTTGTAAATCTTGGCAAACTCTTAGCTACCTGCTGGTTATTAATTTACTACCATATGGAAGCCCTGTAGTTCAACGTTTAGTATTTAATTGATTTTCAGTCTGCCGAATGATGTGGAAAACCTAAAAGCAAAAAGGCAGTTCTGATAAATAAACATATTAACAGCTTATGCAACAAATGCCATTGTACAGGATCGTTGAAAATGTTTTACAAACTTTATAATTATCTAAATACAAGAAAATGTAAATGTAATTTTGTTGTTGTATTTTGTTCTCCCAGTGAGTCTGCTTCTACTTTGCTGGCATACATTTATTACCATTTAAACAGGAGTGCTGCAACGTTTTAATAAGCTTAGTCAAGGGTTTTAGAGATATGAGAGACCAGCTGCCAGTGACTAATGGTTAATTAAATATGGAGGTCTACAATATCAGATATCTGATTCTGAAAGCAGAGAAAATAAAACACTCTTTTTGTATAGAAAGAAAATGATCTATTTTATGTACAAAGAAAATTATCCATTTTATTGGTATCCGGGGAAGTACTGAAAGCCGTGATTAAAGTCAAATGCTCCATTTACCCATTCCAGGCATCAGAGTAGCTGGGGAAATGGGCCGTCTCGAGAGTACAGGTGTCTGTGAAACTGCCTGAAGAACTTTTTCTGGGGGTCCACCGGGTGCAGATGTGCTGGGTTGCAGAGCAGGTGTGCCAGCTTGTAGGTCACGTGGGTTTCCCTGGCTTGGATTTTGTGGAGTGGATGGAGTTTGACCTCTCTGACCCGAGGTCCGCTGACGCAGTTCTACTGATGGAGAGGAGAAAGTTATTACAGTCAACATGCTGTGAAAATACGATTTTCTTAATTCATGCAACTGCAGCCAGCAATACAACTCCATGTTCTGAAGAAACTGGTTCATAAGCTTCTCTACTAAACAATTTCCTCTCATGAAAATATTTTTGGAATAGAACTACTATGATAATTGTTAATAATTTCACCAACAATTGAAAACATTGAACACAACTCTCTGCCTGTGTATTTAAGTAAAACAGTTTACCTTGACCAGATCTTGGAGTACCTGGGATTCCAGATGCTGGCTGATCAAGTTCCTATTAACAAAAATATCAAAATGTAATTTATACATTAGAACAGAGGCTTGCTGTGATACTTAATTCAAGGTCCCTTGAAATCTTCCACATTGATAAACTGATCATGAATCTTCAAATCCTTCATATACTGCAATAGTAAACCCAGGTCAATAATTGTTCATGGATTGGAACAAAACAACAAGATTACATTTGTACAGCGCCTTGGGAGGACGTCCAAGGCGCTGGAAAGTGGTTTGGTACGCCATGACTGTTTGTGGGACACTGCTGTGTTGGCTGCTGCATTTTGCCCCACAAAATATACAGTCAATTCACTCTACAGTATATTCTGTGGAGGGCTTGGAGACGTTTCGAAGATGTGATAAGGTGCTGTATCAAACGCAAGGATTATTATCTTTATCTGTGTCAGTACAGTGTATTTAGTGTATCTAGTATATCCAGTAGTATATCTAATGTAATGAGCTTTAACCCTTTCCCAAAGGTATTCTTGCGGGGGTGATAACACAATACGTATAACAACTTGCCCTTGCATCTGGAAAACACGTAGCGTTTTGCAGAGATTGAGCAAGGTATGTGCAAAAAAAAAGCTTACACTATTCTGGAAGTACATTTGCAAAGGACACAAGCATCATTTTTTTTGCCATAGAAAGTATGATGATAAGATCCAACCAAAATGCATACATCAGTCATCAATACAAAACAATGAATGAAAAAGTGCAAGTTTTCTTTGTCCATGCATTGATTTGCATGATCAATTTTTGACAGGCACCCAATTTTTATGACACTGAAGATCAATAATTGTTATAACGCCAGCAGAACAGCTGTGCAACTTTTGTCACTGACATTTGACAGATATCAACATTGGACATGAATCTATTAATATGGTCAAAGAAGTGTAATTGATACGACAACCAGGAGTAATTATAATGAATGGCATCATTCAATTAGTCTGCTAACTGAATTCATCTGAAGTGTTTAACTATGTGGTTTTAAAAAATTCTACAAGTGGATCTTGTAATAGCTGGTCATCTCGATCATATGTCTCAAACATGGTATCAATACAGTATAAACAAACTACTGAAACAAATGCCTACAAAAATTCTCGACATCAAGTCGACACTGAAGTCGCATTCTAAGTATTGCACATACACAAACAAACCTCCACTGAAATCCTTCTTTCACAAAGTGACATCAGCAGCAGGATGCTGGCAATAACATGGGGAAATTCCAATTCATAATAGTACAGGGGAGGCTAGATTTAAAGAACATTTTTTGGAAAGCAGTGAGTAAGTGTAGAGGAAGCTATATATAGCTATGGCCTTACCCACACAACCGTGCTCAATATTTAAAGGAAAAAAAGTCACAAGTCAAATTAGGTCAGTAAATAAACGTTAATTCATAACCTTGGATGACATACAAAACATACTTTACATGTCATATGTTACTTGTATAATTTGAACTTCATGTACGATGCTATTATTTGGTTATATTGAACCTGTTTACATCAACATCCCAGGGATGTTGACATAATTTGAAACTTCATGTACGATGCTATTATTTGGTTATATTGAACCCGTTTACATCAACATCCAGGGATGTTGACAAAAATTTGAAGACTTACTTTAGTTTTTTTGGATTCAGGATCAAATCTCTCCAAAATAATTTTGGCATTCTTGTAAGTTTCCTTTTCCATTACTTCTTCAAGCTATTTGGGAAGAAAAAAAGATATTATAGCTGCATATTATCATGACGTTTCTCATGCATCATAACACTGAGCAGAGTCCTCTTTACCCCAAACCATGCTTACTGACACCATTCTGAAAATCATTCCTACTGAAAATCTGGTTAGATGCATCACAAATCATTATCGTCAATCACTCTTTAGTTACCACAATGACGTTTACTCACTAAAAACTTTACAATGAGATTTTGTTGATTAATTACAATCATTGACAAATTTTCACGAAATAATAATAATGGAACTAACTGGGTTTATGAAATACTACTTCTATTTTCCCCTCAAATTCATACGAGAAAGAGCAATTTTGATAAGTACCTAAATGGGTCACACCTTAGTTATTAAACTAAACATTTTATAATTTTGTTTGTCTTGTATACATAAATTGAGTTCATATTTTATGATGTGACTTCTCATAGACTTTGAGGAGGTGACATCCCAAAGTGGCAGTGGAAAGTTGTAAAGATTTGGTAAAGACTTGTAAAGACTTCCAAAATTACTTTGACAAGTACGAAAATTGACTCCCTCCTTTACAAAATAGTGTCAATGGGTTTCAAGGTAAGGATGAGACTTAATAGCTCACTACATTGAACGAAGAACAGGGTAGTCATTGGGAAAAATGAGAGTGGAATGCCTCAGGAGTCCAGGGTGAGATCTCTCCCACTCCTTATATACCTGAAGTGACTTGGATGTGAATTTCATTACCAATGAGGTCAGCTGGTTCCAATAGCTTAGACTAAAAGCTAAAACGCCAGCTGGCCGGACTAATGGGGGGAAATCCGGTCCGGGGAGCCAAAATTTTCCTACAAAGTGTAATTACAATGCCGGTACCAACATTTAGCAGTGTTTTTCCCCAAAATGCCAGTATCGGCACTGAAATTGTTTGAATCCCGAGAAAAAAAGACAGTGAATAAGCCATTCTGTGCTCATGGGATTCAAGCTGAGTCAAAATCGATACTGTATCTCTGGCCACTGTGAAAAAGAGACCAAGGACTGCTTACACTATGTCCAGCGTGAGCAAAAAGAGAAATGCACAGGATGCTTGGCTCAAATCGCAATCAAGTTCAGATTCCCAAACGTGACACTGGAGCTATACAGAGCTCTGATTAGGTTTCATTTTGAGTACTGGGCCTAGTTCTGGTTAGCGTGACAAAGAGATCATTGCAAGTCCTATAGATAGTGAAGAGGAGAGAAGCACTGCTGATCCCCAGTAGCTAGATAGATACGCAATGAGGAATGACTAGATGAGCTAGATCTGTTAAGCTTTCATTCATCCGACTCCTTTGTATTATAACATGTTAATGAGGCTACCTGCAATGCTACATACATACACACATACAGTCAATCAACACCCCCCCCATCTCTTCCGAAACATTTTCTAGGTTTATATACAGTTTTCCTTTTAGTTCGTACTTAAGTGACACAGTTGCTCTTTTTGTAATATTTTTAAAAATCGAGACAAATGTGTTTGAACGAACACGCAAATAACCTTTGTTAGGGCATTTTGTTCTGCTACAGTGAAACATTAAAATGCAAAACAGTCACAGTGGGGAAATTTGTAAAAATATTCAAGGGAACAAACTGTTCAAAATGCCTTGAAGCCTGTTAATTGCATTTAACAGCTTCATTGCGAGGAAACACCAAATATTGTTAATTGTTTAAATATAATGAGGAGAATAATTACATGCACCTACTTCAATAATGGAATTTACAAAAATCTATCAGCAATCATTATTGAAAGTTATTAGACATGACAGTAAATGACAGGCAATTCCTCAGATTTATTTCCTCATAGCAGTTAATGCTATTAATTTAAAGGAGGTCGTTAGCAGAGTGCTTTAAGAAATAAGTCGGTGTGCCAATTAACCGCTGTCAGCATGATTTTAGATTATTTATTAGCAGAAGCAATTAGCTTGGTGCAAAATGCCGCAAAAGCTCAATAAAGGCAAAAAAGAGCAATGAAATTTCCTTTAATGACATTAAGGGCCAATATCTCATTAACCTTTACTGTTAATCTCAAACCATCAGTGGGAGAGAGATTTGCAATCTTCTTGTAAACCAAGATAAAATGAACAAATTAAAAAATAAACCTGTTTACTTACATGAGTACAGGCGAAAGTCAACCATTTGAAAACTGAACAAATTCAGTCCGATCTGCTTCAATTTAATCTGATTGGAATTGGTTTCGGGGAGTATACAGCTCCCAATGAACTGACAAAAAATGTAAAATGATGTAGGCAGAGGAACAGAACATCTGCTAATGGGTTTGCACATACCAGAAAGAACTTGATTCAAGTTCAAAGGAGATACGGCAGCACCCTACGTCAAAAAGAGATGAAGCTCTTGAAATGACATCACTGATACACATCTAAATAAAACCTTTGCATGTTCCAGTTTAAATGCATACTTGTGAATGAAAACTAACACATGTGTATCACTAATATTGCAGTTGAGATTGCTTTCGAATCAAACTGAATTTGCTCAGTTTCAAATGGTTGACTTTTGCCTGTACTCAGTTAATTTATGAACTCAGGTTATTTTTAATTTATTCATTTTATTTCGTTTATACAAGAAGATTGCAAATCTCTCTCCACACTGATGGTTGAGAACAGTGATCTGTTGCTCTCAAACTATCAGTAACTACATTTATGGGTTTGAGATTAACAGTAAAATCTTGCACCCAATTCCTAATATTAATACCGTACGCTGATTTGGTTATGCAATGAAGCAAAGTGAAACCTGTAAATGATCTTTAAAAGGCACTGCTGAACAAAGTATTTGCCTGGAAATGAATGTAACCATCATAAATTCGATCCAATATTGTGAAGTTCGCTAATGCGTGGCTGTTCCAAGCACTTAAAACTCCATTGTGGAATCCCTCCAACTCGTTCGCTCCCTCCCCTCATTTGAGGTACCTCTCAAGATGTTAATATATTTAGCAGTGAAACAATATTTGGAATTCTTGCTTTTCTTTCTCCCTCATGTTCTCGCAGAACTGAATTTCTGCCACTGTACTCCTTCATCACTTATCAACATTAGTATCTTCTCCAGAGCATCAATCCTAGTCAAAGAACAACAGTTTAGTTCTTGACCAATTAACAACTGCCACAGTTGAGCAAATAAGATATTGTACCAAATAAGGCAAAATCTGAAGAGCTATCCTATCTGAAGGAAAAATATATTTTAAAAATGTAAAATTGAATTTGCCATAAAATACTTAACAACGACCCTACCTAATTTACTTTTAGATCTCATATTCATGGATAACTTAAGCACTCAGAAATTCTCTTTTGAAATGTTCCTGAACAATTTTGCTAAACCGTAATAAGAGCAAGTGAAGCCAGCAGTCGCCAAACTAGTTTTGTTATGTGGTCATGTCGAACTTCAAAGTACAAGCACAATTTAAGATTGTACATCAGAAAAGCATAATCAAGTAGTTGCAAAATATAGCCATTTGAACCATTCTATATCTACGATCCTCAGTGGGTTTCCTAGCCAGTTTTTTATGCAGAATTAGGGCCTGTTTTTTACTCAATTGACCATCGAAACACATTTCGTGAAGAGTTCAGTGGCAAAGGTTACAACTGTATCCCATAAGTTTAAATCCAGACTAAATCAGTCTGAAATCCAGTCTAAATGGATGAGAGGACAGAATGCTGACCCGCTACCAATTCAATGGATTTCCGGCACCAGTTTTAAAGTTCAATACATACTTTAAAGCTGAAATTCACGCATTGAAACAAAATTCTACCACTAAGTACCCTCAAACCTTATTAGAGCAACTAACTAGTACTATATTAATAATGTATGCTGCATCAGCTGTTGCAATAACATAAAAGTTTAATTGGGGCATCGTGGCCAGTCTCTAAAGTCATTAAGTATTTAATTCTGAAATGATCTCCCACGTCAGTTCACAAAACTAAAATGGTACATTTTTACAGGGTTTGACATAAATACTTGCCATTTACAGAAATGACTGGACACTAACCATTAAAATGGCAAACGTGATTCTTCAAATCTCAGCCGTTTAAAAAATGTCTCTGCACTTATACTAAATTTTCAGATTCATTGACATATCATTATATTCAAGTTACCAACGCTACCAACGTTTATGAATTATTTCGGGTCAGCAGTAAAACAATTGTTCTGATAGAAACTTCCCTTTAAGAAAGTCTCTAATTTTTCTACAGGAACTACTGGTGAACGTTTGTGATGGAATTTATGGGTTGTATCTATGAGTTACAAATCATTAAGTCTGAGACTTAGTTTGGCGTTTCATTACCACCTTGTTTAATATTTAAATTTTAGTTTGGTTATTCTGCATTTCCATTTATCTTACCTTATTTTCTATTAAATGTTTTACTGTAAAGATTTTTTTACGGAACACTTTTGTTTGAACTTAATGGGAATGAGTCATTTTATACTCCCACCCCTAAAGTGTATCACTGGCACAGAGGTATAGTTACTGTTCAAATCTGGCCAGTGATCTTTGAAGACAGCTGAGAACCAGAATATACCAGCTCAACCAGTAATAAATAGGCTCAGCCTCTACTGTAAAAGGCCTTGGAAAAAGCCAGGTCTTTGAAGGACAGGAGTAACAGCAGATTTCCATTATATGTGATTAACATACGAGCTCTTAAGTTATCCAGTGTTTTACATTAAAATTAGTTCCTTATTTATTATTAATAATAATTCTCGCATTTGGTATAGCAGCTTTATACGTTGGAAGGATATCTCAAAGAGCATCACAGGATTCACTGTGAAATGGAGTGACTGTATTTGTAGCCAAACACGACAATATAATTATGCATGGCAATGTCCCACAACAGCCATGAAACAAATCACCATTTTTTATATTTGGGGAATTGTTGACCCATGGCACTGGGAGAACTCTCTTCTCTGTTCAAATAGTGCCACTCGGGTGTACACCCTTCCAACATGAAAGGCGCTTTATAAACATAAATTTTGTTGCTTTTGTACTGATCTGCGGGAAAACTTAATGGCTGTTTGTGGCACGTTGATGTGGACAAACTGCCTGTCGTGTTTGCCTACAAATAAACAGTCACCACATTTTAAGTAAATCCTGTGAAGCATGCTGAGGTATCCTCACCACATTGAGGAAATACACGGATTATTTAATACATACTAAATAAGTTGTCAAATTTTAAAATGGAAGCTTATTTTGCCTGAAAGCTACTAAATCAATGATCAAAAAAATCTGAAGCAAGAAAATGGTTTTCAAAAAAATATTAATATTAATTCAAAAAGGTTTACAGAACTTACAATTTTCTTGCGTTGTACTTTTAAATCTTCGAGGGCATCACCTGTAATAAGTTTTGAAAGACTTTGGTTTAAACTTACCCAAAATTACATGGCAAATAATTTAGCAAAATTGTCCACAGGATTAGTATAACTTTAAATGTTTCATACAACAGTGTGCAAAATTACTTACTGTTCCTTTCAGTCCTTTTGCGAAACAGCCAAATCAAAGCTTTTCTTATTAACCAAACCCTGAAAAACAAAGGCAGAAATATAAATATTATTGCAGTATTTTAAGGTTGAAGTCATATGCATTTATTTTTCATTATTCTACCCGTTACTAACAGAATTACATTGCTCCCCATCAACAAAAAGTGAATTAAAAATTAAGAACCTGAAATTATACTAAGACCGTGGCTGATTTTGAATCATTAATTATTCTAAATAGACTTCAGTATTACAGAAGTATGGTGTGAACTTCTATAACTTGTACCAATGGAAAACAATAACACTGGTTGTCGAGCTTTGCTGTTCAACAATCATGACCGTTACGTAAGCGCTCTGAGAAGCGTGAAGGGCGCTATATAAATGCATGTTGTTGTTACTTACAGGACAGGAAATAAAAACCCTGGAAGTGCAAGGGTTAGTCGTGAAGTCCATTCCTCTGGAAACCACCAGAAGTACACAAATATAAATGTAACGATATAAAGAACTGATGAATACAGGACCAATCTCCCAACCCAAATCTTCTGCAGTCTCTGATTCTTTTCCCTGAATTCTTCCAATGCGTTTACTTCCTGCAAAGAAAAAATAATTTATTGCATCAACATTTGTTTTCTTCTGATCCTTGAAACATCAATCTTAAGACTGCTGAAACACTGGGTATGGATAGATAAAGCAACACCTCAGAACACACCCCAGTTGAGCATGGGCTCATTTATAACATTGATTCAAAAGGTCTACTGTGGTCCTGCACTATACCAGAAAAGTGGTAAAAGATGACTAGCCAGCTTCAACCACTACAAAAATAGCCATCTTCCCAGAAGTGGGATCAGTGGCATTTCTTTTCATGGTCTCGCAATAACATGTCTGTCTTATTTTATGGATTTAAGATACTAAGTCATAAAATGTTTGCCCTGTTGACATTCAGAGATACTGAATTGTTTCAATACATTCAACTTATTTTTTTACTAAAAAGTTACTGTGGATGTATAAAACAACAATGTTGCGCATTAAAACTGTTGCCCGGCACCTTGCAAAATAAATTCCTGAAGGTGATTTCAATCCTCATTGCAAATGAAACTAGGAAAGGAGGAATATAAGGACTTAATCAAATCTGTACTCCCGAAATACAATAACTTTTAAGAAACGGTGGAACATGACAAAAATTAAAAAATATGACTCCAGGTTGCAGACTACCAAAACTCTCAGTGATTTTTGTTTCCTTGATCTTCAAAATTTGAAGAACAATAAATAACACTCGCTATTTGTAAAAGATGAAAGTTGACTCAAAGGTTGTAAAAATTTCATCAATTTAATGAGTAAAATGCTTCCTTGTCACTCTTAAAACAGAATAATAATGCCTGGATGGAGTGTATTTTGTTTAAGGAATTCCCACTAGATAAATGAAAAAAAATAGCATATTTTATAGAGTGAAGAAGCTTCGCTTAAACACAATGAATACTTTGAACCTTGCCACTCCTGCAATGAGCCAACTAATGTTTTCAGTAGTAGCTGAAGCTTAAGTTTAGGGGAAAGGGTGTTATGGAGCAGCCTATGAAAGTTCAATACCAGATGGGTATTGTTGAAAATTTGCCAATTCTTTTTTTTCATTCTTCTTTGTTCTTATTCAGTTTTATTCTCTATCCTCTCTTCCCTTTCCCCCTCTACACCCCTGCCACCGCTCCACCCCAAAAGCAGCAGATGCTTTCCAGCTGGTTCTTAGATCCACAGGGAAGATGCAAGGAGAGAGAAAAAAATCTGCTGCAACAGTCAAGTTCTACAGTCTCGGCAATTCATAAACAGAACTCTAAAACTTGAGCACGTAAATACTTTGTTTAAGCACATGCTTCAGTGAAACACCACTTAGTAATGGAGAACAAACCCACAAGAAGTGTATAAATTTTCAATTGTTTGTTTTCTTCAACTATTTATTTATATGAATGATTACATCCATTTGTTAATTACTATTTGCTTGTTTCCAGGCTTGCACCATTTACTGTGAGAAGACAAGACAGGAGGACCCACTTCCATCCAAAACCAATTCTCCATATACCAGCTAATCACATACAGAGATAACTAAAGACAATGTGTATGGCAGTTTTACGCTTTCCCCCCTTTGGAAACGGCTTATCCCAAGTTATTACTCAACGGATCTGAACATAAACATTCACGACCCTATTATACGTCCAGTATTGGTAGGCTTTCTCCACTTTGTAATACATCAGTGACTATTAAGGAACTAGATTGTTTTAATCTTATTCATCATTTCATATCCCATAATATCAGTGACTTAAAAAAAATCTAAATCAAGGTATCGGCCAGTCTCAGAATAAATTATGGTGGAAATTTGTTTGAAAAGTTTCTAAAGGAGTGATAGTCAACACTGGAGCAAAACAGCATTTGTTACATTTACCCACTATATGCAAAAAGAACCAAAGGTTTTTAGGATGGGTAATGAATGGCGAGAGGGAAGCTGTGAGTTTGACAGATTTAACAAGGGAGCAAAATGAGTGGCTGAGGAAGTAGGGTTGGTGGACAATCATAGAGCATAAAAAATAATAAATTGTCTTCTAAATAAATAACTAGCTTGGGATATAAAACATTGTAATCAAAAGGTCTAGTATGGCTTAAACATATAACTGGACCAAAATACTTCACAATATCCTACATCATAGATAAAGTGAAATAAGAGAAAACTGTACCTTGTCAATTTTTTCCAGAATGTCTATCGTGGAAGGTTTAGCCTGTAGAAGAAAAACAAATGTTACAAAGGAAATCTTCCAATGTATTCACTCTTGTGAGCATTAATCTAAAGCACACATGGTCTTTTGTGTTTACGCTTTTTATTCAATGGCCAATGCATCAAATTCAATTGCTCTGATTTGTAGATCTCTGGTTCAAACGAGTGACTATCCATACATTGTTTGCACCATCAATGTCATGCAATAACAGATTAAGCAAATGCACGAAAAGTTTTGATATTAATCAGTCATCAATCTGATAGCACATAATGCCAAACTTTCTACCTAAAACTCAAATTAGTTATGCAAGTGACAGCAAGGTTCGATCACTTCATTATTTTAGAGGGAAAAAATACGGTCATTATGGAATATTTCATATTGATAAAACTCTCCTCAATCAAACAAGTGATTGAAATAAATTTCCTCATGAAAGGCACCACGTCACCCTTGAAGCTCTAGCCTTAGAATAGTTGAAAAAAACATTCAACATTGCAGCATGATAGCTCATTAAGGGCCCCATGAACCCTCTAACCTTTACTATCTTACCACCAGCCCATTTGTATCTTCTATGCGGTGTGTATAACCTTTCCCAGCCTATTTTTACCACAAGCAAACATGGGATAGTGGAAGATATTAACACTATTGCAGCGAGCACATGGCACCCTCCCATACCTTTACAAAATACTGTATGTTTTGAAGGTCCTACATCAATACTCCATGCCCACACACCAGTAGGGTATAAAACACTTCAGTATCAATAAACTAATCACATCAAATTATAATAAAGAAAATATAAACTAAGTTTGCAAAAGGAAATATGCAAACCAAATACTTAGAGGAACAAATTTGACACAGGAAACTCAATTGTGCAAATAAAGCATAAACATCCATTCCCACCAAATATTTTCCAGATAATGAAAATAAATTTGTTAGCCTTTCCTGCACTTATTCACAGCCTAGACAGCATTCCTCTCATTTTACATTCCCTGCTGAGGAGGTCATGTAAATTAGGCAGCTCAGATTTATTAGAGCGGTACATGCAGAAGGTTGCAGGTTATCATAGGTTTAATCTGCAAGGATGCAGTTTCTTTACTAGAAAACTATTATAGCACTTTATTATGGAAGAAAACCATCTTGCTCTAACTGGATAGCCATGACTCAATAGTTCAACACAAGGTTCCGCTAATATCTACTTAATTTGCATTTCATGTAGTGCTTTTCATGCTGGGTCAATGTCTTAAAGCGCTTCATAGGATTTACTGTAAAGTGTAATGACAGTATTTGTAGTTAAACATGGCAGCCAATTTGTGCACAGCAATGTCTCACAATCCACTCGGAATTAAATGCTTATTTTTGTTATCGCAGGATTGTTGTCCAATAGTACCATGGGATCTTCAACATCCACCAGAACAGGTAGGCGGGATCTCAGTTTAATATCTCAACCAAAGGATGTCAGCTCTGACAATACAGCGCTCCGCCTGCACTGCATTGGGGTGTCACCCTCAATGAAGTTCCAAGTCCCAACCTGGGGCTTAAACCCATAACTTTGTGACTCAGAGGCGAGGGCGCTTCCAATTGAGCCAGGCAGACAGAGGAGTTAATTTCTACCTCAGTAGTTCAATTAAGGGCTCCTCTAGAAGCAGCACTGAACTGGCAGAAAATATAAAAATTGGATACAATAATAATGATAATAATCCTTGCATTTGATATAGCGCCTGATCACATCGTTGAGGTTTCTCAAAGACTTCAAAAAATATATTGTAAAGTAGGATTGTGTATTTTTCCAAACTGCAAATTCTAAACATGCATTGTTTGTTCAAAATAAATGGGTGAAATCTACAGCAGCAGACATTTCTTTTCAATCTGTTAATATAAAAGATCCAGAAGAGTATATAAGGCAACAAATTAAATTCTTAAAACGGAGGATTTGATCATCTCAAACAGAAACAAAAGATTTTCTAATGAAAGCTGAAAGTCCTACTTCAAGAATGCATCACTACTGCCACAGGTAACGACAAAATAAGTTATACACGCGTTTAAATTGATATTGGCTGTCAATGGGTATAAAACCCAGTGGGCAGTACTTTAACTATTTATGTCACCAACACATTAAATGAGAACATTTAAATTAAGCAGCTATACCACAGATGGGTGCCATGTAATCTGGCATTCATCCAGTGAAGGATGAAGATCAAGGAGTACACAAGCTGTCTAGTTGCAGCCGTTTCCCTTAAGTGGGATACAAGTACTTGTTTATTTTTTAATACATCATAGGTCAAGCAAGAGAAAACAAGAGAGAGTAAATTGTGTCCTATCCATTGGTCATTCAGTTAAGCAACTGAACTGTCCTTTACATAGGGTACCATCACTTGTGGAGGAGCAAAACCAAGGTTTCTGATAAAAGTGTCCTCAAACTTGGGATCAATGTTCTGCCCCAACTTTCACAGATTTGGTGTGAAGTATATTTTTTATATTTATGCAGAAAATATTTCAATGACCTGATCAATATCTGTGATTAAAAAAAACACGTTTCCGCAGAGCGAGCTCTTCAAACCAACCAGTTTGATTTAAAAAGTTGCCACTAAAAAAAATACTTTCCCAAAAAGAAACGAGAGGAGTTATTGCAATGTAAAGGTGAACTGTTCATTTGGAAACAGATTTTTGCTGCCTCATTTTACACTAACAAACGAGAGTACCAAACTAAAGTATCTCAGGTGGCTGGATATCAAGGATCAAAAGTATCAAAATTATCAAGTGTGGCTTGACTGCTACAAATGGGATTCAAATTCCCACAGGGATATTCTGTACAATTTCACATTGGAAAAGAAAGGAGCAGAAAGAGAGGAGAGAAGACTTCAGATCTTATGTTCTAAATACATTTGATTTGGGGGATGAATGAAACGTTCCTGGAGGAGTTTCATTTTTGGCTTAAATACAGCAACCCTCAGCAATAAACACAGCAATCAAATCATTATCTTGGATTGCTGCATTTAGAGAAAGAACACAATACACTATAGTTTACAGTTGCTTAGTGCATCTTGACATTACCCTACAATGGTACGAGAGTAGTTTGCAATATAATAATGTAGTTTGGTGAGCATGGTGGGTGTTTGCCTGTGCAGTTGCCTACCACCCATCAACAATCTCTCAATCCAGACTTCATTTGGTGATTCCCTTGACAAGACTCATCAATCCTACCCAGTCATCTTCTGTATCTTAGCTGAGTCAATGTTCATTAAGAAATACTGAGTGATGATCAGACACATTGTCATGGTGTAACTCTTCAATTGCGTTGCATCTTTCGCAGCTGATCCATAAACACCAAATAGACATTCAATCCTAGGATTCTGTGCTGACTACTGATTATGTGACAATTGTTGTCACAGATGCAGTATAGGCTCTTCGGCCCAAAATTCAATCATAATCAGTCACTCTGGAGCCTCTAAAAGACAAAATGATGTTTTCCTGCAATAAGACCAATCTAAAAGAACCACAGCACCGCCTTGATAACAATTGATCTGTGTTTAAATGATGCTCCAATGTTTAAAAAAATGTTTGGATCCGTCAAAAGGAACACTTGAAGCTCAATGGAAACTACCATCGGCAAAATGTGTTTTTCAAAGTAGAAATGGATCACAAAACACACACAACATACACATAGAAATTCAATTACTCACTCTTGAGGTCACTGGCTCATAGGATGAACATTTTTTAAACTTCCCCTAACCCAGGGACATTTAAACCATCCCTACTGCCACCATAGGCCTGACATTCAACATTAAGTGTTGAATCGAACACTGATTTCTTGCTCCACACTCTGACAACATGGCATATTTTGAACACAAAAATTAATCATTACCCCAAATATCAGATAGCCAGTTTATAATGACTATTATAATGAGTGGGATCAAACAACTCATGAGTGCCACAAATAGACAAACAAACTATGTTAAGACTTGCTTACAGCGACAGACGTTTAAATAAAAATTATTAAAATGCACTATTTTTGGAGCTTTAGTCGAGGTAGCTCTGGAGACTGAGCACAGTTGGAAATTAGTCTCTGTTCTTGCACCTGAAGTATGCAAATGAGGCAAACAAGTTTATTCAACCATCTCTACTGATATGAACGGTATTAAGCTATTGTATCTTCAGGGACCAATAAAACATTCCAGCAAAAATCTAAACTTACGGAAAAGGACTTGGTTTAACTGTTGGTAAATATATTTACTGTTATTCTACTTAATCCATGAACAGGTTTACCTCGTGGGGAGGTAAACATTCAAGGGGCTTTATAAGATTTCAATTACTTTTCCCTGATCAGATGATAGGTCAATACCTCAGGGACTACTCCCATTTGATTTTCTAGGCTTTAGTTCCAACTGTCCTTATCTTTCCTGATAAGACTTTGAAGGCCTAATATTACTTAAGTGTTTTTAACCCAAAAAGCAGCCTGGCTCAAGTTTGTAGCACTTTCATCTATTGGTCAGACGCTTGTGCGGCAAAGCCCACATTGGGTTTTGCGCTAGGGGTGGAGGGTGGGGTTGCTGCATTGTCAGTGGTGCCATCTTTTAAATTAGATATTAAACTGCGGTCTTGTCTGCCTGTTCAGGTTGATGTTAAGAGATCTCATGACATTGTTTGAAAAGTGAAAGCAGTTTCTGTCGGTGTCCCGGTCAACAATCCTTTGATAAAAGTGGTGATTCACTTCATGGATGTTTGAGGGACACTTCTGTGCGCAAATCCGCTGCTATGTTTGCCTATAAATAGTCACTGCAATTTGTAGAAACTGTTCTTGAACTTATAGATGGTATATCAAATGTGAAGATTATTATTTTATTTCACTATGTCATTCATCTAAGCACCAACACACCTTCCTGATCAGTTTCTTCAAAGGTTACATTTTAATATGAATCTAACTGCCCGATTGCTCAGTTGATAAAATCATTGCTCGACATGAAACCGGGTTGTACAGACAAAGGAGCTCCACATTCAGTCCTGTGAAGCATATGCTGATTTTAGCCAAGCTAGGAGCAGGAGCATGCATCAGCCTAGAAACGAAAGAGAAGAGAACGAAAAACCAAGATCATCTGGAGTTCCTCTTCTTGATCACTATCCTGTAACTCCTGCAGTAAAATACACGTGGGTAGATCTCAGGGAACCAGAAGAAAGGGAGGCCATCCAGAAAGAACAGACATCAAGGAACTAAAGACGATAGTAACTGGAGACATAAGCGCTTGTGTTCAGGCAACAAAAGCTCTGCAGCAATTGCAGACATCAGTGAGTTGGAAACGAGCCATATTTTGCAAAGTTGTTTTGCAAAGGAGAATGCTTAATTGATTTCTATTGTAATAATCATTGTAGTTTGTTTATCTTCAACCATAATGTTTGCTATTTGCTCGACCATGCTAACTTCCTGCTCGCCGGACGTTCCAACTCTTCCCTCTTCAAGCTGCAGATCATTCAGAACTCAACAGCTTGTGTGCCCCTCCCCCCGCACCAAACTCTATAAACTGATCACCCCCATCATTGCCTGGCTTCACTGGCTCTCCATCCCTCAGAGGATTGAGTTTAAAATTCTTGTACTCAACTTTAAAGCCCACCATGATCTTGCTCCTCCCTACTTCCATTAACACCATACCAACCAGTCTGGTCCCTCCGCTCAGCGGGCACTGGCCTGCTTCACGTACCCACGCTTGGCCCATTCCGCCATTTGTGGTCGGGCCTTCAGCTTTTCTGCCCCAACCCTCTGGAACTTCATCTCAGAATCCTTACGTCTCGCCCCTCCCTTGCTTCCTTGAAGTACCGTCTCAAAGACTTTCCTCTTTGATTATGCTTTCTGCCACCCTCCTCCAAAGTTTGAAATGGGAATTATCCTAAATTAATATGGTGTTAGCAGCCAGCAGATCAATGTGCATTAACTTTAAATCCTAGTGTAATAATGGCCTGATTTAAGTGAACTCGTGAAGAACAGGGATGCCCAATATTCACTTGTGGTTCTCTTGCCTCAATCATTGATCTTACCGAAATCCAGACGAATACCACTGGCAGTTGGAATGTGTACAATTTGGATAAAATGGGGTTATGATCAAGTTCTGCACCATGATATGTCATTTGGGAACTGCTGCTTGTTCAGTTGAATTTGATCAATTCATTGTGCTCTTGCCTCCCTTTCTTCGCTTACTACAACTCATTCCTCAAACCATATCTTTGCTCTATACTTAACCATGGCTAAGGGTGGAAAGAGAAGAAAAATTAAAATGTTCCTAGCCTTCCAAGTCTCCCTACACTTCATGACATCAATCAACAGCAGGCAAGCCCCCTGTTCCCAAAGTCACTCTATAATTGGAACTATACTGTGTGTGCTCTGGGTAACAATTCATCCAATCTCTCTTCCCTGTAGGAAGTACCTTTAGCCATCTCAGTTGTGTTCTCAGACAGCATGGTTGAGTTTGGGAATCCACCCTACTAATGATGAATCATCGGATCTTTTTATATTAATGGGGCGGAAGAAGAGAAATATGCACAGAAACTAAATGTACATAATTTTCTTCAAAATTGTTTCATTTGAAAACCTGTTCCCTTTCTCACAATTCTTCACTATTCAGCGACCAAATATCAAACCAGTGTAATTCAAGTCAGGTGTTGGTTTCAAAAATATAATTCTCTTTTCATGTTACATGTATAGTAGTTAAGCAGTTAAAATATTTGCAGGTAGTATTTTGAAAATATGCTAGTATAAATAAACCACAAGCTTTTTTGATACGCAAAATAAAAACTATAGAGGCTAACTTTAGTCAGTAGCAACATTTAACTGGGTAATATTTTTCACAACAGCCAGACATCAAAAGTAAACTGCCTAAATTTACAAATATATTTTTAATACGATTTGTGCAAGATAGTGGGAAAGAGTCTACAGAAAGTGATAAGGAAAAAGGTAGCAGAAATAAGACCACAAAAGCATCTATCAATTTAGCAGAGGCCATTTGGCTCAATTCTGCTCAGATTAATTAGGAAGCTGCCAATCAGGGTTGTGACCATCAAGGTTTCCAAAGATACATGGAACATACAACTTCAACAAATCACATATACTGTGCAATGATGCCACACTATCACATTATTGTGCTCGCTGGGAGTAGCCATTTGAATTGATGATAGAAGACTCATCATTTACTTTGATACACCAGTGACTGAACCAGTTTGTAACTGCTTCAGCCACTGGGGTGGATCAAAGTAAATGCCTCTTATTCTATTTTGGATTGACCAGCAATGGTAGAAATGTATTAATGGCTAACTTTTAGTTTAAGCACAGTATAAGTTTGTTGACGCACACTTTCTTAGTTGGCTTAAAAGTTAAATTTCAGGATTTGTAAGTGAAGCTTAGCGGAAAATGATGACGGAGGTGCTAGTATTGACCAGATATACTAAAAATACCAGTTCTAATACCACATGGAATTGCTACACCTACTTGCTTACCTGGAAATTCAGCCTCGGAATTCCTTCTTTTTTTGAAAACATTTGATAAAAGTGCACAGTCACAATTTCTTTTTACAAAATGGTCAATTACAAACTTCATCATTTTTAGGCAACAAGAACAACAACAAATTACAGTTGTACCGTGCCTTTCATGTCAGGAGGACATGAAATGCACAATACAAATGTAATTTGTTGTTGTTAAGTTACTTTATATCACCAAGATTGTACCTGTACACCCACCCAGCACAGTCCTTTGCCCCATCTCCCCTTCACCTCAATTGCCTTGCAGTTATCCATACAATAAATCATAATTCTGATTTTCATTAGAAGTGTAAATGATCACTCACCCTCCAGCACGAAAATACAACTCCCATCTTGCAATGGCTCAAGTAAACTGATTTGAAGTAGAACACCAAATCAAGTTATTTATAGGGTGTAGAAATATTCTTGACCTGCAGAATTACACAAATTTACATCCATGAAAGTGCAATTCTCCATCTGCAGTATATAGTGGTATGAACCACATACTTAAAAGAAAAACATTAACCAAACCTAGTTTTTGCTAACAAATGACTGAAAAAACAAATTCTGGTGAACATCACTTCATTTCCCCCTGATTTCATACTTGAACAAAGTGATTTAATACTACAACATTTTTTTAAAATGTAAAGACATATTCTGTATTACCTAGACTCATCTGAAATTGGGAACATAGGAAGAGTAGCAGGCTCATAATGCCTGTTTCACCATTAAGACAGGCAAATCTTTAAGTCCATATCCCTTAATATCCTTATGAAATTTAATTTGCAGGGTTACCAAATCAGCACTCAGTTGGATGATCCAACAATAACAACAATTACAGTTGTATTGCTTCCTTCATGTTGGTAGGACGTCCCATAGTGCAAGACAGTCAAGGGTTTGCACCCAAGCTGGGGGTTGGGATCAAGAAGGGTGGAGGGAACAGAGGGTAGGAGTGTGACCGATCGAAGAGGAGGGTCTTGAGACAGGCCAAGGCTCGAACGGAGGAATGTGTGGGGCAGTCAAGTCGGGATAGGAGATCTGAGAAACTTCAGATTATTCAACTAACACAATGTCTAATAATAATAATAATCCTGGCATTTGATGTAGCGCTTTTCACGTCTTCGAGACGTCTCAAAGCGCTTCACAGAATATACTGCAAAGTGAATTGACCGCATATTTGTGGGCGAAACGGGGCGGCCGATTGCGCGCAGCGGCGTCCCACAAACAGTCGGTGGATTGAGTGACCAAATTATTATTGATCTTCTTTTCTCGAGGGATTGTTATCAGGCGCGCGGAGTAAGGAAACTCGCCCGGGGTTTCGCCCGGCCGGGAATCGAACCCGGGTCCCTCGCTCGCCAGGCGGGCGGGCGCTCCGACCCCCGGGCTGCCGGACGCCACTTTACCTCCAGTCGATCGGGAGGGCCGAACAACGGGCGCGGTGGGCAGTACACACGACTGCGAAGGGGCAGCGGGGTTCCCTGATGCCCGGGCGGGCGGCCAAGGGGGAAAATCTGACCCGTGCTACTCTGGTCAACAAAAAAAGCCAATCGACTTTGGTGGTTTAGTATTTAAAAATAACTGGAGAGAGGGGGAGTGAGAGAGAGAGTGAGAGAGAGAGTGAGAGAGTGAGAGAGAGAGAGAGAGTGAGTGAGAGAGAGAGAGAGAGAGAGAGATAGAGAGAGAAACCCTTCAATACACTTCAAGCCCCGAGTCCCTGTCACGCAGAGGAACGGTCCGGTCCGGCCGGTCCGGGCCTGGGCTGTCCGGGCAGCGAAAGAGGCCTCGAGGTTTAACCGCCGCGGACTAACGAAGGTGGCAGCAGCGCGGACAAAGCTGACGTGCAAAACCGTCCCCCGTCCCCCCCGTCCCGTCCGGGGACCGCACAGAGAGACCGGAGACCTTAGGCCTCAGCCGCAGCCTCGAGCCCCGAGTCGCGAGCGGTTCTGAGCGCGGCCCCTGTGCTCCGGGCGGGGAGGGAGGGAGGGAGGGGGGATCTCGGGAGCTACAACACAAGCCGCACCTGGAAGCGTTTCCCCTCACCCCCGTCCCCCGCTCACCTGCTGCTCTCCGGCCCGCGCCTGGACACCAACCGACCGAACCGAACCGACCCGAACGACCGACCGACCGAGCGCGCCGATTCCTGCCGCGCAGGCGCACAGCCCACCCCGGGGGGGGGGGGAGGAGGCGGGGTCGAGTGCCCGTGACCTCTCACCCACGTGACGCGGGCGGTTCACGCGCCGCCGCCGCTCTGGACCCTCTGTGTGTGTGTGTGTGTGTGGTGTCGCGAAAGAGACACAAAGCGCAGGGAGTCCGGTGCTGCGTTGCAGAGGCGGGAGCTTCACTGTGAACCGATGCAACGGAATTAGCACAGATCGGCCGCAGACTTAACGTCATGTTAAAGCCACTCTTGTGTACAATAGAGTGCATATCTTACATCTACACCTGTACGTTCGCTTCAATTGCACAGTCGGATTATTTGATAACAACCACAATAATTATTGTGGCTCGTCCTTGCTCTTGGTTTTTTTTTCTCTGTGTGTGTGTGTGTGTGTGTGTGTGCGCGTCCCCAACAGTTCGGTGCAATGTTCCTTTCGTTGCCCCGCGCCTGTTTGGTTGCTTTTTTTTTCTCTCTCTCTCTCCTCTCTTTTTTTTCCCCCCCGTTTCACCGCCACCTGAGCAGAATCCGACGACGAATAAAGTCATTGTCGGCGTTTTTAATGCAATTCGAAGCTCGATGTCAGTTGCGTTCATGCATATGTTTGCCACAGTCTTCAGCATTCAGAGGAACTCGATAACAGTTCTGACACACCGCATTTTAGCTGAGAGTCATACTGTCACCAAACGTCCTCACAGCACGATTTGAGTGACTGAATTAGACCCATTTTGTGCATTTATAAATTGGAATTCGGCAGAGATGGTGTAAAGGTTTATTTTATTCTCGCGTGTTATTGTTGCAACTTGAGGAAACATTGAAACACATGATCTGGATGTTAGTTTAATTAGGGCAGACATTTCAGATGTTTTTGACAGATGCGGTGGTAGCTTAATCCCTCATCTGAATATTTTTAGAGGAGGAAGAAAAATGGGAGGTATTCAAATATTTGAAGTAAAAATTTAGCAAGCATTTTCCTATCATTTCATTGGAATTCGAATTTTACTTTCAATAACCTTTGCAATAGCCATGGAGCCCTTCTCGTGGATTATGTTTTCCTAACTAGGATTGTTTCAATGAATGTTCATTCGCACAAATAGTTTTAAGTTCTTTAGAGCTGTTTACAAAGTGCAGAATATACCGTTGGTTAGTATGTGCACTGGTTGGAATTGAAGGCTAAAATACGAAAACAATTCTATGGAGCCTTTTAAAACGATCACCAGCAGGAAAGTACATGGCCAACACGGAAATAATAGGATTTGGGAGTACAAATCAATATTTAGTATTGGTTACAATATATATATATATTAGAAACTTGGGTACATTGATGTGCATAAAACATTATCACTATAGAACAAATTCAATTTAAATATTTATTGCAGATTATTAAAAATAATTGAACAATCCGCCCTGAACATAACAAACTGTCAAATTAATTATACAAGAAAATAACCTTTAAACTTTTTTCTTGACCTAACGTAAATATGATGATATTGTAAGAGAGAGAATCCACGTGTGGTTGCCTGTGCCAGATGAAAATTATCCTGTGGAAAATCATTGTAGCTCCAAATGAGGCAATTTTGCGTCCAATAAAAACGAAAACTGAGCGGGTTCAACTATTTGTTCTGTTCCACCACCAGTTTAAATCAATGTAGTTGATTCTAGCAATTCCTCCTTAACATTTAGGAAATCAATGTTTTGTTTGCTATCTGAAATAAAATATCTGAAATATAATACCTGAAATAAAATATTTCAGAAATCTAAAGAGCGTTTTCTGCCAGATTTTGTTTCATTCAATTGACTAGGGAGGAGAAACATTCAGAAAACCCTTTAAAAATACAATTAAAGCTTGATTTCTATTGCACACTGCAAACGTAAGCATACCGAAAAATGCTGCAATAGTTTGACTCAAAAGACAGGCGACATTTGTTTTGGTTAAAAGCTTGTCTAAAACATCCACTAACACACGAAACTTTCAAGAGAAAGCCGTGACACTGCAATAGATATCACAAAATAAGAAAGGCAATACCTATCACATATCCCGCCCCACCCAGAATTTTTAAAAAAATGTTCTTATACATTATGCAGCAAATCCAATCAATATACGTGTGCCTATAGTATTTTGCAAATGTATTTTTCAGATGAATCAATTGCAATGAAATCATACACTG